CGTCCGAGGCGCGCCCGCGCCCGCTTTTGCTTTCCGCTCTGGGTCAAATTGGTGCGCTGGATCTGAGCTGCCGCCCCGCCCCGCCCCGATTCGGGTGCAAATCGAATCGGGTGATGGCCAGCGGCGCCCCGCCCGCCGTCTGCTGATTGCCTACCGCGGCTCCCCGCAGGTCGGGTGGGAATTGGGCCGTGGGTGGGAGCTAGCAGTTTGGTTGGCGGGTCTGTTTGCTTGGGGAATTGCAGAAGGGCGTGGTCTTGGCCTTCTTTCTTTTGCGTTACCCCTAAAAACTGCCCCCTTAACTTTACTCTCTCATACAACTTCATTCATCAGTATCTAAAATTATTGTCTGGTGGGCAGTTTAATTTTAGGCGAATATAAAGGAGGACTGAAATGGCTGAAAATTGGGTAGAAGAAGGCTCGAAAAATACTTCTGCTCCGACGTCGCCCCCTAGTTGTCAAACCTCCTCAACAAGAAGATCAAGGCAAAGGTAAATAGTGCATTACTACTTCACATGCCATTGTTATCTATTCGCAGCTTTACCTAGCTAGACAAGTTTGCCAAAATCACAAAGTAGCAGATTAGTTTCATTCAGAGCAAGTGTCAGTTCACTAGCTAAAACAAGTTGCGTGTTCTAGACCAACGTGTATGTTCACTTCTGTAACTTTTGATTGTATGTACAACTCTCGTTAACCAGTGTTGCATGAGTGTGCAATGTTTGACATCGGAAATGAGGAGAGTCTACTGAGTTTGATTGTAACTTCACAGTTTTGTTTGTTTTTAATGGTTTTAACTTTGCTACTAAATCAGTGACAATTAATATGGATCCGATGGAGCAGCAATTATTCTTATTAGACAACCACTATGAAATAGTATTTGTAGAATGGAACTTGTATCTTATTCTGACCCTAAGGCTATCACAATAAGGGCTGGCATGGTGCCAGGCTGTTGACTCCACTGAATTTAAAATAAAATTCTCCACCAGAAAAAGGCTGCTGACCCTACATGCCTACTGTGTCAAATGATCTGCTGTCCACTATCCTCTTGGACATGAATTGCTGTTAGTGGGTTTGGGACTAGTGTCACGAGCTATGGCATTAGCATTTTTGCTTAACAAAGTTTAGGACAATACTGGGCCTGAATGTCACCAGAGCAAAAGCTTGGTTCTGTGACCTAGGACCTTACACATTTGCTTATGTCCCGACTCATGAAAATAAGCCCTGCCTGGCATCTATCCTTTTGGAAAAGTGATTTAGTTGCTAATGCCAACCTGTGATTTTACCCCCGACATTGTTAATTCTGCTGTTTTTTTTTCTTTTTGCTGCTAGTGTCCTTTGATATGCCTGCTATAGGGTGATCATGATGCTATCTTACATGGCACCAGATCTTAGTGCCTCAAATGGTGCTACTATTTCTTGCTCTGTGACCAATTCTGTGAAAAAAAGTCCTGCATGAGACCATTTTCTGAATATTGTTGCAACAAGTTCAGTAGTAATATTGTATTAACATTGTTAGTTTTTCACTTGTTGAATATAACCTTTGCCTTGTCCATTATTATCAGAAACATATTCCATCTATTAAGTCATCGAGAGGTGTCTCCTCGAACAAAACACCAAGCTAAAAGGCATTGGAATAAGCCTCCGACTTGCGGCGCTGGTTACAGTGAGTTAAGATATTCAGCTACAGATGCTAAACATGATTTATTTTCGTGGTAAGGAAGCTCTCTTTTCACCAAGAAATGTTTCTGTTGACACCTGGGTTGAGAATGTTATACTTCCTGTTTGACGTTTTCCGTCCACTGGCTAAGATTTTTGAACTTGCTGTGCACAGGGCAGAATCACAGTCCCTGCATCGTTGGTCTGCAAAGTATTGCCCTCTTATGCCACCCCCTAGGTCAACTATTGCAGCTGCATTCAGTTCGGATGGGAAAACACTTGCATCAACGCAGTAAGTTAATTTACTAGCTGAATATATGAACTAAACATAGTATGAGAACTGACTATCTCTTCTCTCCAGTGGTGACCATACTGTTAAAATAATTGACTGCCAAACAGGGAAATGTTTGAAAGTGTTGGGTGGACATCGGCGCACACCTTGGGTGGTATGTTTTTTCTGACACTGGCACAATTTGGTAGTGCATTTGAACAGGGAGTAAGCTATTGAATATATGGCTCTAATAACGATGTGATGCATTGTTTTTGTAATCATTCGACCAAGCAGCATCAGTTTATCTTTTTTTGGCCTGTCTAAATAAAATATGAAAATGAAGTTTAATAATTTACAGTTCTGTTTATTAGCCGATATTATAGCACAAGTGTGTTTACGAAGCTACTGTTCTGTTGCAGGTTAGATACCATCCCTTACATTCTGATATACTTGCCAGCGGGAGTTTGGATCATGAAGTCCGTCTTTGGGATGCTAATACCTCAGATTGTATTGGATCTCAGGATTTCCGTAATATCCTTTAAACAGTCTCTAGCTCCATTCTTCATTGTTAGCTTCTGTCTAATGGCATTTCTGAAGCAACACTAATTTTGTATTATGTTCCTTTGGCAGAGAGGCCAATTGCATCCATTGCATTTCATGCAAGGGGGGAGATTCTGGCAGTTGCATCAGGTCACAAAGTAGGACTCCCAGTGTTAAAACTCATAGCAAAATATTCTTTATGTAATTCTTCTATGAACAGTTGAAATAACTTGCACCTAATTTATGTGTCAGTTGTTCATATGGAACTACAATAGGCGAGGGGAGTCTTCTGCCCCGACCATTATATTAAGAACCCGCCGTTCGTTGAGAGCTGTGCATTTCCACCCTCATGGTGCTCCATATCTTCTTACGGCAGAGGTAGAAAATGTAGAATATGAATGTCCTTTGTACTTCATTATGCGTTCCTGTTATATGTTTTCTGTTTACTCATATGTACCTTGAATTTCAGGTTAACAATCTTGACTCCGCAGACTCACAGCTGACCCATGCAACATCTACTGGCTATTCAAACTATCCCTCAGCTTTGTTTTTTGCAAACATCAACTCTAGAGGCTATCCACATCTTGAGTCTAATATGTCATCACCTTGCCTAATTTGGCCTGCATTCCTCAGGGATGATGGAAGTCTATATATTCCTCGAAATGACTTGGCTAGTGGTTCAACCAATGTGCAGCAGAGTTCGTCATCTTTAGCTCAAAATGTATTGTCGTCAGATGCTGAAAACCAGCAGTCTGACCAGTCTGTAACCCCTATGGATGTATGTCCAGGGGAACCATCTGCGTCTAGTGATGTTCAAATGCCTTCCACGAGCAACAGCCTGCCACTTCCGGCAATAGCCAGGCCTTCAGGATCTGCTGTTGATCGTATGCCAGTGAATTCATTCACCACTAGTGGGTTAGATGTTCAAATGTTTCTAAGAAATTCAGAGGGTGGAAATCACCATCACGATCTCTTCAGTGACTCGCGTAGCTGGGAGCTGCCTTTTTTGCATGGTTGGTTGATGGCCCAAAGTCAGACAGGTTTGCACCCTGCATTTCTGAACAATACTGTCCTTAAAATCCTGCCTCTTGGTGGTGTTATTGTGATTAACTTTACTAGGGAATCACAACACATGAATTGTTCAACATCCAGGTGCTTCTTCATCGATACCGATTCCCGCTGGCAGTACTAGAGGATCAAATCGACACTATGCCTCACGCCCTCATGCTTTGGCCTCTGTACCAGGGGTTGGGAATTCACTTCTGGGTCCACAAATCGATGAAGCTGAGGCTCATGCTGCGTCCTTAGGTGTTGGATCAGAACTTGCTACCTCACTGTTTTCTGCCGGCGCTGCTGAATTACCTTGTACAGTGAAGCTTAGAGTATGGCGGCATGATATCAAGAATCCATGTGTTGCATTAGAAACCAAGGCATGCTGCTTGACAATCTCTCATGCCGTTCTTTGCAGGTGATCCCTTGTGCTTTGGTTACTTTTTCTCTCTCTTTCCTGTACAACACAAGTTGTTGTTAGTCTCTTCATATTATTTACCAATGCCTTCACTGTTGTGTATACAAAAGATGGATCTATGTTCCATTCTTACCTCATTTCTGAACTTGCTTAGTAATGTTACTAAATAGTTCCAAGTAGAATGCATATGTGGTAGATTTGCCTAATGAGGATTGTGCTTTTATGTTTGACTCAGTTGGGACTTCTGTACTTATAAGTTATTAATTGTTGCAGTGAAATGGGTGCCCATTTCTCCCCTTGTGGACGATTTCTGGTGGCTTGTGTTGCATGTTTGCTGCCTCAAACAGAAGGTGACCAGGGTAGCCAATTACCTGTGCAGTATGAGTCTACAGGAGCTGGAACATCACCAACTCGTCACCCACTTCCCTCCCACGGAGTGATTTACGAGCTTCGGGTTTATTCTCTTGAGGAGGCAACGTAATTTTCTCACTGTTGACTGTTCTATTACTGTAGTTTGTTCTTTATCAGCCTATTAGGTTACTGTTTTGTAAATGGTATCCTTTAAAGTTGTGAATGTATTTCTTGCAGATTTGGAGAAATTCTCACGTCCAGAGCAATAAGAGCGGCTCATTGTTTAACTTCCATTCAGGTTATTGTGTTCACTTTTGTTTGTGTGTGTGTTTGCATCAATTTTTCTTTTTTATGCTTGGAAATAACTTGTGGTTTGTGTCTCAAGTATCATTATGCAAGCGAGCCTCTTTGGCGTGGCCGCATTGGCCACGTTAGTGTAATGCAGGTTTAGAGGGTGCGCCCTTGCCGCATAACCACATGGGCAAAGCAGGCTAAAATTCAAGAGAGAATTCCTTATTTAACACCGTGTTTAAATTTTATGCCCTATTTGACATCAACAAATAATTTCTTCCCTATCTAACAACGAGTCTAAATTTTATGCCTTTTATAACACTTATGTCCATTTTAAGCCTAAATGACACCTGAAAAGACCCTTTTACCCTCGAGTGGTATGTTTGTGTGTGCGTGTGTGTGCTGTTGCGTGTGTGTGCATGTACGTGTTTTCTACTGCTAAGTGTATGTGTGTGTGCGTGTATGTTTGCTACTGCGTGAGTACGTGCGTGCATTTGCTACTGCGTGTGTACGTGCATGCGTGTGTGCGCACGCTGTGTTGCATGCATGTGTGATGTGTGCATCCATGCTGCTGTGTTGCATGCATGTGTGATGTGTTACTTGTGCATTGCATGAACTTGCTCTGTTGCTCAGGACAAGAATTATACAACTTTTTCCTGGGTACTACTAACTTCTACGGCATATGCGTATGCTGGTGTAGTATATTATAATTGGGAATACGGTCTACTTTCCTCACGCTGCACTTGTCCAAGATGAGAAATCCAACAGCCGTCAGTGAGCTGGCGGACCATCTTCCCATGGCTGCCGCTACCTGACCTTGCCGCCGTGGCTTCCGACAGCCAGTTTTGCGCATTTAGGCCTGCTACGTGATACATACTCATGCGAGAGTGAGACCAGGAGCAGGCTTCGGACTTGGATCAACCGTAGGTGGACTGACCTTCGAATAGCATGGGTAATAAAAACATGAGCCCTTGCACTGATGTTGCGTGTGTGCTACTGCCCCGCGCACACACGTACCACATGAAGGGTAAAAGAGTCTTTTCCGGTGTTATTTAGGCTCAAAATGGACGAAAGTGTCATAAAAGGCATAAAATTTAGACTTGTTAGATAGGGAAGAAAAAGTTTTCCGGTGTCAAATAAGGAAACGAAATTTAAGATAGTGTTAAATAAGGAATTGTTTCAAAATTCAAAGCCACATATTAGTTATGTAGTCAACCCAAACAAACAAGAACCCTCCTTCCGTTTCTCAAAGACACAAACAGGAATCCTTGTCAAACGATAACAAGAAATACATAACAATTGAACACAGCACAAGCAGCAAACTGCCCTCTTCTTTAATTCCAAATACTTCTCCCATTTCTAGTGTGACTTCTTCCTCTCGTTCTTGGTTCTGCACCCAGCAAAGCAAAGAGCAAATCAAACAAAACTAACTGACATAACCTGGATAGCACAAAGTATTTCAGTACATGTGACACACATTGATGATTTAACACGCATGGTTTATTTTTCTCCTTTTGGTGAATAGAGCAGTAGTCATAACAAATGGATTTGGTCAGGTGTTATGATAAGATATGTGCTTACTTCTTTTTTACATTCCCATGGTACTAATCACTACGAAAGCACGGAGCTGATAACATGGTCCCACTAAAGCAATATCTGAACTTTTTTCATTTGGAAGCTCCCTCCCACCTGCGTCAGGGCATATGCCATTAGAATAACCTCTGTTTAATGAGAACACATGTGTGCAGTGTACTGCCATGCAATGCATGTCCAGGATCTGTGGGAGTCCCAGCTGTTGACCCAAAAATTACAGAAATTACCAATCTCGTTATTAATTCCAGTATTGGAGTTTTTTAGCTGGCTTTTTTTTTTGCATGGTCTTCTGCATTGCAGACCCATCCCTGAGACATATCAGGCTGTAGTTATGCAATTCTCAGAGTTTAATCTGAGCCTAATGTCTTTTCTTTGATGCAGTTTTCGCCTACTTCAGAACACATACTATTGGCATATGGACGTCGTCATAGCTCGCTGCTCAGGAGCATTGTTATGGATGCGGAGACGACTGGAATTCCTGTATATACTATCTTAGAGGTGCGTGCGGTGCTCACCCTCATAGCATAGGTTGCACATCATAATGATAGGCTGGCTATACTTTTTTTGGAGGCAATATCCTGTCTATGCTGGCCTTGCAGTTACATATATCTTTTCTATACCCGGGATTCAAAACCATTTGCTTATTACAGTTCATAACTCTATGTCCTGCTATGATGTAATGCCATTGTTCTTTCCATCAATTTAGGTTTACAGAGTTTCGGACATGGAGCTGGTAAGAGTTCTTCCTAGTGCTGAAGATGAAGTCAATGTTGCATGCTTTCATCCTTCCCCTGGAGGTGGTCTTGTTTATGGGACTAAGGTGAATCTACAACTAGCTCATCAACAAAGTTGATGTATTATTTTCATTGCTGACGCTTCCACTGGTTTTGAACTATAGGAAGGGAAGCTCAGGATCCTACAACACAATGGCGCAGACGCTGCAAGCATGGGGCTGAATTGCTTTATCGAGGAAAATATGCTTGAGGTAGCAAGCTCCCTTCCAAACAGCATGTTCATCTATGATTATGTCTCTTGTTTGCGTTTTCCCCTGTGTCAGTCTGCATAAGGCTCAAGCATATTTTCATATGGGGGCATGTTAAGGAGGTTGTAGAAACCTGCATGGAGGTGTTTGTTCTGAGCATATCTGTATATGAGTTTGTCTTTGATCTATATATGCACTTTTTTCAGAGCTGATCAAAGACATAATATGGTCTTCTGTATCTTGCCAGAGCGTTGACCAAGTGTTGTGTGTATTGATTGTTTACATCTCTAGTGTCATTTACTCCCTCTCTCTCGGTTTACAGGGCGTGCGCGTACCCCTAGGTTGTCAATTTGACCAACCTAATACAAGTCATATATTACAAAAAATATACCAATATAAACTTCAGATGTTCTATTTTCAAACAGTATTATTTTTGTGTTCTATAGTTTATATTATAGTGATAAAATTGGCAACCTAGGTATACGTGCAGGACTTGTAAACTGAAACGGAGGGAGTACCTGCTTCACTTGTAACTGTCAGGATGCTCTTCGCCCGCTTTTTGTTTTGTTTAGCGTGATATAACACTAACACTGTTATACCTTGCAGGTTCAGAGGTATGCGTTGGAAGGCTGAATGATCATTTGCGTCATGAGCTTATATGTGTACCTTCTCTGGTAATTACTGCTTGCCAACATCTCATTTGATGCTTGTTTGAGCTGTGGTAGTTGCATTCCTGGTCCACACATTATCCTGTTGACCTCTTGGATTTAATATTTAATTGTTAACTTTCTTTTTTTTGCATTCGAAGTCTACAATGAAAGCTTGCTTTAAAGTTTTTTTGGCATTGGAGTCTACTATGATGTTTTTGATATTTAGTTTTTTTTTGGGCATTGGAGTCCTGCTTTTCGAGTGGCTTTGCTGATACTTCTATATGGCTGAAAAAATGATTGTCCCAGCAGGAACTTTTGTCTGCAAGCTCCATTTTTGTTTAGGAGAGCCTCATGGACTAAATCACAAGATATCATCAGGGGCCTCCGACTAAATCTTTCGAGCGGCAGATGATTCTTCATGAGTTTGTTCAAGTGCAATGTACTGATCTATTGCTGGTTTCCAGAGAATGCTGTGGGCCGACTCTAATCGTGCATCGTTTTGCAACTTTTAACTCAGGTCTGTGCACAGGCGGTGTGAAGATGTAAATTTGGCATGGTCATCGTTGCTGTCAAGTTCCCACGACCCTGTAATTATAAAACTGTACATGTAATCTCCAATCAGCTTAAAACAACTGCTGTTGTATTTTAGAAAGCTCGCAATCCTAATCCTCAAGTTTTTTTTACGTGGGAAATGTTTGTACTATTTCTGTCCTGACCAATGCCAGTGACTTGCATTAACAAATCTTTGTATTGTGTCAAAGTTATTTGGTTCCCTTTTTCGCTTGCATAAAATTTCCTTGGAAGTTTACTAGCCTTGTTCTCTTGGCTTCAATAAGCCATTACTTTGACCTTGTTCTTTTGGCTTTGCCTTTGGGCTTGTTCTCTTTGCCTCCTTGGAAAGAATCAACATTTCACTCGCTGTAAATGAGAAGCAATATTTTTTGAGACAAATTTTGGTGATTGCTTGGTAATCAAGGTACCGTGCAAAATATTTTTTTAGAGGCACAGTTTCAAAATATGTGCAACATTGAAGCAGGTCTATGTTTTCTGGAACATCATCTACTATTTCTGCCCTGACCTATGGAATGATGATGAAGGCTCAAGAATTATGTCCACACGGCACATCTTTCATAAAGTTGAAGAAATATGTACAAACGGCAAACTTTTTCAGAGTCCCAAACACATCTTACATAAAGTTCAAAAGATATGCCCACACGGCAAACTTTTCCAAGTCCCAAACACATCCTACATACTCCATCACTAACTTATTTATCTCCAATAGAGTTTTGACCTAGTTCAGTGCTCGTTTGGACCTATATAGGATGTGTTTGGGACTTGGAAAAGTTTGGACCTAGTTCATTGCTCATTCAGACCTATATAGTTTTCGTTTGGACCTATATAGTTAACAAGTTGAATAACAGATCATATTTTCCAAGTCCACATACTATATAGGTTCAAACTGAACTAGTCAATATAGTGCTTGTTTGGACCTATATAGTTAAGAATAACATATCCAAACGAGCACTGAACCGGTTGCTAGTTATTTTCCACACAAAGAATACATTATCACAGTTCAACATGGCTATCGGGAAGAGAATCCGTACCCGTTCACTATGGCGCAGCTGATGCATTCGAAGGAGTTGACAAAGCCCTCCTCCTTAGTAACATTGGGCCCGCTGTTGATAAATTGTTGTGCCTGATCTACTGTTTTCTCCTCCCCTACTCCATCCCGAGGAACTGCAGCCTCACTAGGCTTCAATGTTCGATCCTTGTGCTCACCTCGAGACACAGGAGTGTAGAAGCTCACAATGGGAACCAAATTAGCAAAGCCATGATCATCACATACCTTCCTGGTCCACTCTGATTGTAGTTCGATCATGAAGAGTCTAGCTACTATGGTCACGAAAATGACACTTGCTCCCTCGGCAAAGCCCAGAACTTGCCTCTAGTCTCCGCATCCACGAGGGCACCAATTGGGAGCAAATTGCCCATGTAGATGACCCGGCTCAACACCCATCGTGCACCAGTGCTATCACTCGCCTCCCTAGCCCACAATCTAAGATGTGAATCCATGACTTCGTTAACACCTAGTCCACCATCCTCCGCCAGCATGATGTTATATCGGTCGTCGTCGTAGTTCGACCCATGTATACTTCGGTGGGTTAAACATAGTTAAGCTGTGTCGTGCCCAATCATATTCTAGGATGAACCCATCATCATCCATGAAGTAGAGCTGAGACCACTCAACGAGAACGCTGAAAAAAAATGTAAAGCACATGGGCCAGCGGTGGTGCAAAGAGGTCAGCTCAACCTAGATGCTAGTCTCCGATGAGAATACACACACCCACATGGCATCATCATCCTTGTCATGTCTTCGTCTTCAACGGAGAGGACAAAGAACACACTAAAATGCCCCTCTAAGCAGTTGCGGTGGTCGCACCCATCCGCTGCGCAGAATACGGAGGCGGTCGTGTGCACCACGTCCGCATATATGCCATTGTAAGCCACGGGCATTGCTACAGGCTATTGGGCACCCGCGAATGGCTCCCACATGAGAAGTTCTCGAGTATCGTGGCTCTCAGATTTGGAGAGGAAGATGGTGCGTCCATGGCGGTAGTCGAGGGCCTGCGACAACCGGCCGTATGCAGCAGCGAGGGAGAAGGACGATGCGATGGTGGGGATGAAGCTGGGGATGCGCTCCAAGTCATTGAGGAAGCCAATCACGGGAGGTGACACTAAAAAAAACACTTCCGTGATATGGGCTTGTAACAGTAGGTCACGTTTCCTGTCACGCATGTACATCCGTGGTGATTTATGACAGAATCAAGATAGTTATACATGTGCTGTGGTAGACGTGTTTCATGACAATACTCCATTTATTATCACAGAAGTGTTCACTTAAATGACACATCATGGAAGTGATTTCATCAAGGGTAAGAGCATCTCCAGCCGTTCGGCCCCTGAGGGCGTTAAAAAAGGGCGGTCTGGGGGCGAACCGGCGCTAGTTCGGCCCCTGGGGGCGACCTAGCTCCCAGTCACGCCCCCAGGCGCCGCCCCCCAGGACGCGAAAAATTCGAACTTGGTCGTTCCCGCTCACAAAATACGCCACAAGTCGGGCGATCGCAAGCCACAGTTCGGCGTACAAAAAATAGAGCGGCAGAAGTTCGCGTGCGCATCACTCGGCGGGCTCTACCCCAGGCGTCGGCGGAGTTGGCGTGTGCGGGCTTGGCGGTGTCGAAGCAGCCTCTGCGCTGGGCGGTGTCGGCGCGGCTTCGGTGGTGCAGGGCGTCGTGGAGGCGTCGTCACGCGAGCTTGGCGGCAGCGTCGACGTGTGCGTCGGCGTCGGCGGCCTTGTCGAGGAAAGCTGGTTCAGGATGAGGCCGCGCTCCACCAAGTACCACGCCTTGACCGCCTCGTCGGTGCTCTGAAGCACGTCCGCCCCGCCCAGCAGGAAAGCCAGGTCGCTGTTTTTCTTCTTCGCGGCGACGTACGTCCGGAGCAGGTCAAGCTTGACGACGCTGCTCGACATCAACGCCGACCACCGCGCCTCGGTCTTCTCTTCACGAAGGACGGCTCGGGCCTGCGCGTCGGCGAGGCAGTGCTCGATGGACTCCTGCACTCGAGCGGTGGCCCCAACGGCATATTTCCCCTTCTTGGCAACTTTGTTGCCGTCCGGCCGCCCTTCCGATGCGCCAGGAGTCGGCGCGTCCGGCTTGTAGGTCTCCTTGGCCTTGTCGAGGGTGCGCCGGACTTCCGCCCACTTCTCGCACTTGTCAATGCGCTTGTAGACGTGGAGGTACTTGAATTCGGCGTCGCTGTTGCTCTGCTGGTACAGGGCGAACATGCGCAGCAACTATGCGGAGGAACAAACAGTTGGCGTGCGTACACGGCGAAGAGAGGCGGGAGGCCGGCGTGGCATACCTGATCCTTGACGCTGGCGCCGCTCTCCGGGCGAGCCGCGACCTCCTCGACGACCCCATACCATTTGTTGCACGCCCCCTGGATACGCCCCCAATGGTTCTCCATCGCCTTGGAGCCGTGCTGCATGTAGACGCCTTTGAAGTAGGGGTCGACGAGTTTGCGCTCGTTGAACTTGGCCTTGATGCGGTCCCAGTACGTGTCGATGCTCTGGTTTGTGCCGGTCGTCGGGTCGAGGCAGACGACTTTCCATGATTTGGCGAGGCATTCCTCCTCCTTGGACGCCCACTTGATGCGCGGATCGCCTGTCCTGGCCGCCCGCTTCTTCTTCTTGCGCCCCTTCGCCGTCGCAGGCGTCGGCTCCTCCTCCTCCTCCTCCTCGTCCTCCTCCTCCTGCTCCTCCTGCTCGTCCTCGCCGTAGACGTAGCCGAGCTCGCCGTCCATGCCGCCGCTGAGATCCACCACCTCGTCCTGGATGACGAACCCGGGAGTTGCGGCGGCCGCGGCCGAACCTGCCGCGATGATGTCGTCCATGTCGGCCTCGGTCTCGTCGGTGTCGCCGAGGTGCGAGAAGGGCAGCGGGCCACGTCGTAGCGGGGGCGTCGGGGAGGAAGCGTAGGCGGGCGGCGAGTAGTTGTATGGAGGGTACTGCACGCCGGCAAAGGCGGGAGATGGCGTGCGCTGGGCCGGGTATCCATGGGGGAAGAATATGACGTTTGGGTTGAACCCACCGTGCGCGTCCCCGTCGGCGTAGCCCGACGAGGGCGATCCCCATGGCTGCAGAGAGCCGACGCCTTGCTGGCCCCAGGGCGCGTACTGGGCGTGGCTTCCGGGTGGATTCATCATCCCCGCGCGAGTCGCCTCGGCCTCGGTTTGGTCCGCCGAGGCAGCCGCAGCCGCGTGCGCCGCGTTGTCGCGGGCCTTCTTGGCGATGGCCCTGTTCCGCCGGTCGGCGGTGATAGCCTCCCGCCGCTGAACTTCCGCCCTCCACTCGGTGTTTGACATGCCCGGTGGCTTGATCGGCGGCGCCCTCGGCTTCCTCTGCTTGGGCTGGACGACGGAGGCGGTCGCGATTGCCGCCGCGCGGGGGGCAACGTACTTCTTCGGTGGCATGGCGGCCGGCTAGGAGGGAGGCGAGCGGGAGGGAGATTGGCGGGAGGAAGGAAGAGTACGGGAGGGAAGTGGGGAAAACGCGGGAAGAAACGCGGGAAGAGGCGCTCGCCTCGCCGACAGGGCGGACCCACGCGCCCTTTTCGCTTGTGCCGACGCCACAGACGCCCCCCAGGAAGCCGGGTTCGGTCTGGGTCCGCCGGCACCAGTTTCATCCTGAGCCGGCGAAAAACGGGCTTCTGGGGGCGCGACTGGGCCGTTTTTTCGGCTCCAGCGCAGCAAAAACGCCTGGGGAGGGCCTGTTGGGGACGCGG